CAAACACCATTTAGCTCATGTGCCCATCACGTCGAAATGAGAACTTTGCATAAAACTTGTTGCATGAGCCAATTACATAATACCAAAGGGAACAAAGCCTTTTTGATTTTCATGACTTTCCTCTGCTCCCAGTAACTCTCTAAAAATAGCAACATTTGCATTTGTTGTTTGTTCCATTCAACACCTACATGTTAAATATTGTCAGGTGCAACAAACATTTCTTCTTCTACAGGCCGTGGGCTTTCATTCTCTGGTCTATTTGAGTATTTATGATATTGCGTAGAGCACAGGCATGAACTTCTACTATACGCCGCTCTTTTGAAGAGTTCACAAGCAAGATCCATTCATATAGATCATATTGACCAGACAGATAACATGCCCTGGCATGATCAGACAAGTACAGTTGCTCTCAATAAGACAAGTCTTAGTAACATATAAAGGTTGATACACTGAATAACATTAACGGTGCATCACTTGTCTTTCCAGGAAAGACCCCCATGGATTCTTCTCATTTCCAGTAACAGACGCGATTGCTCCTGGTTACTCAATGATCATCAAACATCCTATGGACTTCAGCACCATGAAAGACAAAATTAGAAACAATGATTACAACACAGTTACAGAATTCAAGGTAGGGGTACTTTTCAGCACAAACAGATACTTTACGTATAAGATAAGTTTACCCTAATACATGTTTGAACACTTTTTGGCTTTCAGGCAGACTTTAAACTGATGTGTGACAATGCCATGGTCTACAACCGACCAGAGACTGTCTATTACAAGGCTGCCAAAAAACTGCTCCATACAGGATTCAAGATGATGAGCAAGGTAATGACGTCAAATTGTATAAAAGAAAACTAATTTCTTATACTAGGATTTTTTTTTTGGTAACCCATCCATCTTATCCAATTGAAAATGTTATATTGTTATTTACTTAGACACTTGTATTAGTGATTCACCTTTGTTTTAGCTTTTGATCATGCTGTAGGTAGCATTTCACTACTGATAGGTATTTTGACTTCAACTTAAATGCTTGAATGGAGTAGATCAAATTGTCAGTTGAATATTTCTGGACTTAATTTGTGATTTTCTTTGTTGATCGCTATAAGAAAATATCTACACTAAAATATATTTTCGTTAATTGTACATATGAATTTGTAAGTTTGAATGAATTTGAGATGGATAGACAAGCAGGCTGCAGAAATGATGTCACCTAGAGTCCAATCATGGTGACAGTGAGTAATGGAATATATTCAAAGCGCTATGACATTTTCAGATTCCTAGCAGCTGAGCAGTATGAGTCCTCCACGCAATTACAATGCATTTGGATTTATTAACCCAACCAATGACTATACATAAAGTAAACCACTGATGTCAATGTCAACTGACCATGGGTGAATTTAAAACACCACTGTCGTCATCAACACCTTTCTACTGTCCCTTTCTATTCGGTTTCCTCTCTTATCCATACATTACTAGCTAAGCAAACAAAGTTAAGTGTTGTCACCTTTTCCTCTGCCCTGCGTACAGGAACGGCTGTTGGCTCTGAAGCGCAGCATGTCTTTCATGCAGGACATGGACTACACCCAGCAAGCAGCCATTTTGGGAGATGAAGACCTTGCAGCTGATATACCTCCTCCAGAAATAATCCCCATCCCAGTGGAATCAGCTAAGAAGTCTAAGAAACAACCAGTCAAAGACATGAAGGAGGTCATCAGGTATTCCGTGTTTCTAATATCTACGTTAAATGTGACTTTTTGTGTACATGTATGTAAAGAAATGTAATCAAAAGGGCCAGTAGGGAAGTCCCAAGTGTTTGATGTTCTGTGATTCAGGACCCTCTCAGTATAATGAACCGATAACACCGTCACTTATGTTATTCCAGTTACCTGTATGAACCAGAGGGAAACGCTTGCAGCTTGACTGACAGTACAGCAGAGGAGCATGTTCTGGCACTCGTCGAGCATTCGGCAGATGAAGCTCGGGATCGGATCAACAGATACATGCCCAACTCCAAGGTTTCCTACTTATAAATGACATTATAAATCCCCACTCAAAAATGTTTCTACCACCTATAGCTATATAAAATCAGGTAGTAAGGCTTCCATGCTTTGAGCTGGTCGGTCTTGACGTGACCGAGGTATGTTGTTATTGTCAGTATGTGGGCGTCACTTCTTGTCAGTGTAGTTTGTGTTGACAATATATTCTCCTCTGTTCTGTATTTTCAGATGGGCTACTTGCGTAAAGAGCCAGACAGTTCCCTTCTATATACAGTTGTAAATCAGCTTGATCCTGATGCAGAAGGTTTGTAATCATTGTATAGTATTTTAAGCATCTTTTAGAATCCCATGTTCAGAAAACATCTGCATTACATGAGTATAATATGTGATAGACTCATTTGTTCTTATTTCATGCAGAAGAGGAGACTCATAAAGTGGACCTAAGTTCTCTGTCAAATAAGCTCCTGCCTGGATTAACAACCTTGGGTTTCAAAGATGACAGGAGACACAAAGGTATGTCATTAAGTGCACTTTTGTTGATTTCATTCATATTAGTTATTTTAATTGTCCCATACAACTAATAACAGTAACTAATAATGACCACACTTATAATAGTGGTTTTTTCTTCTTCTTCTGTCTAGTAACATTTCTCAGCAGTGCCTATAACATTCAGACCCTTCAGAAGAACTCCATCTTTCCAGACCTGCTGTCTGATGAGGTAGACATGCTCTATTCAGCATATGGAGATGACACAGGGGTACAATGTGCTCTCAGGTAGGGGGACTTTTCTGCCATAAGTTAAATTATTTAGTAGAATAAATGTGTCCTTGTTTCAGCTTGTAATTGTGATCACTTTCACCCAAAGCATACAGGAGTTTGTCAAGGGCTGTGGAAGCGTCACAAAGCACTGGGTTGACGGGCTTCTGGACAAGATGACCGCAGGCGATCATACTAAAGCTGTTGGTCAAATCCGACAGGTATCTTGACTTGTATTTAATATACAGCCATGTACAGTTTTAAACACATTAGTTCCACCATCCTTTCTGTCTGTTGACCAATTTTTACCACAGTTTCTGCAGTGTAGGCCTGTTGTGTATGATGCTTATTTTACATTCCAGAAAAGAAACATGATGCTGAAACCTGATGAAACTAAATCCAGCATCTGTGACATGCAGGTACGCTGTAGTTGGTGTTAAAAGTGGCGGTACATTAAAATAGTGACTCGACTGTCTGATTGAAGCTGCATTTTTGTGTTTTTGTTCTTTTTTCAGATGTCAGATGCCACCGGCCTGGGAGAGAGTGGTTCAGTCCTGGATTTTATGTCAATGAAGAACTATCCTGATATGTCTCTGGATATATCCATGCTGAACTCATTAGGTGATTATCCCCATCAACACTCATTTATATGTACACCAGTAATCCAGCCATAACCTAATTAAGGTATTAAGACGTGGAAGATGTCCATGTAAACGCTAAGCTAGCATTATGTTAATGTGATAAGGCTTGCAGTTGCAGTAAGCGTAACAAGGGTAAGCTGTGTCGCAGTATTGAAGGGTATTATGGCCACTTAAGCTATAGTCCTTATCACAGTGGCCTGGGTTTGAGTCCAACCTGCGGCCCTTTGCTGTGTGTCATCCCCTGTCTCTACCCCCCTTTCACGTCTATCTTCAACCATCTTATGAAATAAAGGCATAAATAGCCCCCAAAAGTACATGGAAAGGCAGAGTTTTTACTACATTTTGAAACACAGCATTCAAAAGCTCTGCTATCCTAAGCTATTTATTAGTGTGCGCATTTCCCCTCCTCCCTTTGATGTGTACTTGCAGGACAAAACCTCTTTAGAATGGGTTGTTCAATTAATTTCCAATAATGATCTCACCTTCCCTCTTTCCTCTCCAGGTAAAACCGTGAAAAAAGAGCCAGGCAATGATGAGGGCCAGCAGCACTTTGATGATGCAGACAAACTCCTGCAGGAGTTCCAGGAGGCTCAGGTCGACAGAGTCGGCTCCAGACCCTCATCCAACCTGTCCTCACTCTCTAATGCCTCAGAGAGGGACCAGCACCACTTAGGTATCGGCAGTAGGAGTAAGACTAAAAGATTAAATGCTCAGAAAGGAGCACTGCTAATTCTTTTTAGTTAGTTCACAGTTTTAATTTGATTAAACATCATATTATTGTCATGAGTAAACATCAAATGTTACAGCTCCATTTTGCTGCAGAATTTTCATTGCTTTCCATTTAAATACCAGTGCAACAACATAAAAACCACATTTTCTTTTATCCACAGGGAGCCCGTCACACCTGGGTGTTGGAGACCAGTCTGAAATGGTTCATGATCCCTACGAGTTCCTGCAGTCTCCGGAGACGGAGAACACGGGCAACAGCTGACCACACACACTGCCATTTTGTTATCCGGGTGTTACCAGCACTGGATTGTCAGCCTTGGACTGTTTAAACACTGTGGAGACAGCAAGAGCCTCCGAACTGTTTTAAATACTGAATATGATTGTACAGAATGTTTGTAGCGTAATCGTATGGTTTTGTATGAGTGCAACACTTGGAAAATAAATGTTTGCATCTGTATTTATAAATGTGTGTGGTTCAATAAGTAAATGAAACAAAAACTGTTATCACCTACGTTATACTGTGGGAACAGCTGCAAATGTAGGAACTGTATACAAGTATTGCTCAACCAAATTTAGCACATTTACAGTAAAATAATGTAAGGTAATCTGGCAGCAGTGAAGAGTCCACTGATTTCTGCAGCAACTTCCACTCAGGCTTCAATTGAGCAACATTTACTTTTACAGGATGTCATGGTATGGGTTAGACACAATAGGGAAGTGAAAAAGGCTGTATTTATGCAGTATACATTAACATTCAATATAATGTTACGTGAGAAAATTAAGATGAAATACGGGCTTTCTTTTTGAAAGCAGAAGTGTATCGTGCATATCTCTTGTCAGCAGTTCCTTCTTGCTCTCATGGGAACAAAGCATTGGCTGGATTAAGAAGCATATATTCTCCTGGGCCTAAAAGTATGATAAAGAATCGCAAAGACTGAGCTCGATAACCAAGCTACATGCGTGTTTATTCAGCCAGTGAAGGGCCACAATAAAAAAAAAAAAAAATGCTGGGTATCTTGAAGAGGGCTGTAGTGCACATGCGCAGTAGGACAGTTTCCATAGCGCTGCGACGACCTGCTGAGTGAGTTGATTCTTCAACTTCTGACTCACGTCCATCGGTGACAATTCCGAGGACACCGGAGCATTTTATATCCACATCTACGGGTTACCTTTTTTAAATTGTTTTGCGTTTTCCTGGTGGTGTGTTTTTGGCCATCATGTAAATTTGACTTTACTGAAGCACCTGCCCGGCTGTCTAACTAATTATGGGATATCAAGCGGTGGAAATCTCCGTCTGTATACGAACAGGAGCTGTTATTGTTTAAATTCTAGGGTCGCCTTCTTCCACCGGAAAAAGTAAGTCATTCTTCATGGAAATGTATTTTTTTTACAGACCTAATATCCTATAGGTTATTATTGCCATGCTTTTATTGTTTATTGTAAGTCGTAAAGATATAAAACAACCGAGTTTTTAAGCAAATAAATGTCAACAACTGTCAGGAAGATAAACAGCCATAGAGGTTTATTGTCTTTAACGTTACTTGACGAGTAACGTTAAATAACGTTAAGTCTCACAGGTCCAACAAAAAAGCATTACTAAACCGCCTTCTTGTTCTGAAGCTCACACATTGTTGATTGTTTCCAGGTTTTTAAACTAATCTGGAGAACTTTTTTTTTTAACACAGTTCAAGTGTTATGTCAGGCGAAAGGCCCAAGAGCAAAACATGTGATGGCTTTTTTTTTTTTTTTTAACAAACAAAGAAAGGGATGTTGCATTTTGAGTAACTCTTTTACTCTGGATCAGCTGTTTTCTGTAGGGTATGTGACAATATCCTCCTTGTTATTAATATGCAGGGGTCCCTTTGTCATTTGTAAAGATGGATGAGGTCTACTGCCTCCATCACACAAGACACACAGCTGCAAGTTTATGAAGTAACTAAAACTAATGCAGTTCAATACAACAGCTGAGCCATAAATCCCACCAGCATGAAGGTTATTCTGAGAGGTGCTTCTAATATTTTGAGCACCCCATTCATACTAACAAGGTTAACCCAAGGCTGCTGAATTAGGCACCACTGTTTGAAGTACACCTAGCTAAAAAACTAAAGTGTAGGCCCCTAATGTGAACAGTCACTATCTTAAGATCAACTCATTTTCCTAACTCATTTCCCCAGCAAATGCGGCTACACTCTGCCGGAGCTAGCCTTGCCTGTAGCGTGAGTAATGTGGACGCTTTGAAGACACCTGGAGGAAGCTTTTCCCTCGACTGACTGTGGCAATCCTCCTCTCGTTCTCTTTTAGATGAACTGCTTCAGTAAAAGGCTGAGACGCACATCTCCCATGCGCGGCACCAGTAGGAATGAACTGGTCCCCTCCAAGCCTCCCAGGATGAACGGGTGGTCGTGGCCCCCTCAGGCTTTGCAAGTGGTTGGCTGGCTGCTGTACAGCTACCTCGCCATAGTCAGCTTCGGCATCTACATCCCTCTTCTGCCTCCGCCGTGGAACCATGTGACCTATGCCGTATCCTTAACACGCAGCTGGAGCCTTACTATCATTGCAAGCTGACTGTTAAGTGTGAAGCTTTCAGATTTGAATATGTAGCAAACATTAGTCTCTGCTACAGTTTTGTTTGTGCTGCAAGACAAGGATTTTGTTGTCTGGGCTGTCTGTATGAGTCCCAGTCACAGCAGACGTGACTCGGGTCTCTGTTTCTGTGGTCTCTATTAAGCCTAAAAGACATAATCAGTGGTGTTTTTGTCACATGTTGAATGCTGCATGATGTCAACACTAGTTTATTGAACTGAAGCTTCACTCAGCCATAAGAACAGTTGATTTCTTCAGACCTGACTTTATTTCTCACACAAAAGATCCACTTGTGTGCAACAGTTTGCAGTTTCTCACTCGTGTATACTTGTGCCACTTATTATACTGCACTTTACTGCACATTTAATCACACATTACAGCATTTTTCCAATATTGCTATTTTCCTTGACTCTTGTTGTGTACAGCTGACAGCCATCGCATTTGTTGTACACTTTTTCACCCATATTGCTGCTGTGACTATAGACCCAGCAGATGCCAGTGTCAGGGCCAAACGGAGCTATGCCAGTCCAATGCCGCTTTTTGACCGGACAAAGCAATCGCATGTCATCCAGGACCTACGCTGTTACCTATGTGATGTCAGAGTGTATGTATCCCAAGCAATGGTGTCTAATGTGATTTCATTTAATTATTAAAAAAAGTTTAATGATGTTATCATAATTAATCTTCATGTAGTGGCCCCAAAGTAAAACACTGCAGTGTTTGCAACAAGTGTGTGGAAGACTTTGATCACCATTGCAAATGGCTAAACACCTGCGTGGGTGGCAGAAACTATTGGTAAGACAATGTTTTGGACGAATTAGTGTGCTTCCTAGTGTCTAACTTCATACCTGGTGTTCAAATAAAATGTAGAATGTTTTATAAATTAACATCAGGTTTTGTGTGTTGCCTTCAGGTGCTTCTTTGTGGCACTGTCCTCTGCTACACTAGGTGTCTCCCTGCTCGTTGTTGTCATCTTGTTCATATTTATTCAGCATTACCTGGATCCAAACAGCTTACGGACCGCCCCGCAGTTTGACAGTGAGTCACCATAAGTCTGAGCTTTCTTTACCTGATTGAATAGAGGGCATATAAATGGCTTTAATAATATTTTTGTTTATTGCACCATTAAAAACTGTATCTGTGTTGCTCCATCTTTCTGTAGGTATACTGGGGAATGGTACCTGGCTGGTGTTTTTACCTTTAGCACCCATAAAGACTAGTTCAGCTGGACTCCTTATATTAGCCTTCATAACAGTCATGCTGAGCATCACCTGTCTGCTGCTGCTCGGCCATCTGCTTGGCTTCCACTTTTACCTCTGTGAGTCACAATCTTCAAGGCAGATATTGGATAGGGCTATTTTCTCCTCATTCAATCATTAACCCTCATAATTTTCCTCTTGTGTTTCTCCTCTTGGCTTGACAGTTTATAAAGGAATAAGCACATATGATTACGTAAAGATGCAGCGCCAGAAACAAGCCAGAAACCAAGACATTGAAGCAGGAAATCCACATGATGCGACAATCAATAACAAGGCCCCACAGGTGAGACCTGTCCTTTTTCTCTCACTGTCGCCACTTGTTCATTCGGTCATGTGTGTACATTTCCCCTTTTTTTTTTATTTAAAGAATCTGGAGACTTCAATTGACTGTGAACCAGCATTATCACAGAGTTCAAGGTAAAACTCATTCCTTACAGTTTTTGTTACACTATTAAAGCTTATTTTGTAGGAAAGGATAATCAATGCCACTCTTGTTTTCTTGCAGTACCTGCAATATTGATAAAGGCCCACTCAGCAGCCGGATTTCTGAGTCCATATGTACTGAGGTAAGCATGTCTACTTACATCTCCTTTTGAATTATTTTACATTTACATCAAATGGGTAATACTACATTAAAAATTCTGTTTTGGTCTAGTTGGAAAACTTTAGGAAATCAGCAGAAAAGGAAAATAGTTTCCATTATGGCACAGAAAACCCCACAGAGACAGCAAGTAAGTACTTCACTTATCATTATCACTACTTTTTTTATGCCCAGCTCATTTACAAATACGGAAGAGCTAAAATATTAGAAATGCTTTACAGTGTAATACAAACAAATAACACACTGCAAACTACAGCCTAGGAGAAGGTTCACACACTGCATCACAGTGTGCAGGGGTGTCTTTTTGTCTGGTCACTTTTTATATAAGGACTGTAAAAGTATGCATACAAATCTGTTACCTACAGATTATGGGACTTTTGTGAGCTGCATTTATTTGTATGGATTAACAATATTAGTACATGCAGTTTAATAATATTTATCTCTTGTTGTTTCCTGGCAAAAAAGGGGAAATGTGTATGAGCGACAACAAAAGCTGGAAGCCTGGCACTGAAGAGGCTCAGAGCTCCCGTGTGAAGTCCGTTGACGGTGTTCCTGGAGTGCAGGACCCTCTGGGCAGCTCAGTGATGACTCCAGATGAAACTTAGCAGTAAATCAATGTCTGCATGGCCATTTGTGAGGATATGCTGCTCTGAGGAACTATTTATTATGAAAATATGCTTCATAAAACTGAACCATGCAAACCACGGACCATTATTAATGAGGACAGAGGACGTGCTGGACTTGATCATACAGTTTTAACACATCGTGGAACAGTTTTTGTTTGTCCCGTACACATTTTGTACACAGTCTGAACAAATATGGACCTGTAATTGTATTTTGTTCCTTTATTATCTACGCTACGTGTTTTTATGACGACAGTTGAATTATTTAAAGCATCGTTTTATCTCACTGACTTATGAGCCAAAGTCCAGCCCCACTTCCAGCCTCTGTTTCACTAGCCTGAGGCTGATGGATGGATGGATGTATTTTGGTATCTTCCTGGAAAAACTGAAACATGAAACTGAGTTTACTGTTCATATAAGCCAAATGGGTATCAAGTACTGTACTGACAGTAACATTTTTGCATCTTTTACCTAATGACCAAAGAGAGAATTCTGTATATTCTTTAAGTGAAAGTAGTGGAGCAGACACTGGTTTGAAAAGGGGACAGCACATAAGCTTTTTTATTGCTGTTTTATTAACTGTAGATTTCACAAAGCTGGTGTTATTCAGCAATTGTTGTAGCAACATTTTATAGTAAAGAATATAAATTTAAGCTTTCCTGTCTGCTCCATTATTTTTTTTATTTTTTTATTCTTTTTTAGCCAACGTGACCAGACAGTCGCACTATAGACAGCAAATGTCCCACCACGTCCAGCTTCTACCTCCTGTTTCTAGACTTTCGGTCTATATTCTTAGCTGAATTCTTATCGACTAGTTGAATTTATCCGCAAATATGAACACTCATTCATCAGCAACAGCTTTGTCTATTAGTGGAGAGACGGAGACTCATGTTGGGCCAAACACAAAGCTTTAAAGAGGGTGTTCGTAGATGGAAATCAAGGACATGCATGCATTTATTTCTGTTTGAGTCGTACAAGATAGTACATAGTAAAACAACCTTGAACAGATCAGTGCAAGACACTACGTTTAAATTTGTCATAGTACAATTTGTCACCTAAAAATATATTTTCAGGCAAGTGAAATTAAATGGATATCATGCCTGCTAATCATATGTTGTCAAAGGAACTGCAGAAGATTATGGGGTGTGGGTGTTAGCTCACCTGGTAGAGCGTGCTCCCCATGTACTTACCACAGCATCATGGACCAGTGGCCTAGGTTTGATTCCAACCTGTGCTGGATCCCCTCTCTCCCCACTTTCCTGTCTATCTTCAGCTGCTCCTATCTAATAAAGGCAATAAAAACTACAAATATCTTTTTTAAAAAGATCACTGGGTGTAGCAGAAACATTCTGTAGGCCAACAGGAAGGTAGAGGAATGGGATAAGAGCTGGAGATTGAGTTCATTCTGAAAGTAAATTGGACGAAAAAAACATACACATTGAATACACATAACTAAGCAATTTGAAAACAGCAATAAATTACCAAAGTAGAAGATCGAAAGTGTTGCAGCAGAATAAATTCAAAAGATCAGGAGCTCTGCAGTACTTTAACTCAACAGCACCTCAAGGCTTTTATACTCAAGACTACAGGATGTTTGGATGGCCCTGGATAGTGAGCTTATTATTGGTGACATAGCAGAGAGCACAGAGCTCCTGCTGAAACTACTAATTCAATGATGAGGTAGGATTATGTGTTTATTTTCTATTCTACTCTGTGACATGTCTGTTCATTGACATTTCATTCTTTTTACACACCCCTCAGATTGCTGCTGCTGTGATATTTTCAGACCTCTTCGTGTTCCAGGAAGGAACTTCATGTCATTTGTGATCCACCTTGCTGTTATTGCAGAAGTTTTTGAATTATTTATCTATTGTATTCAGGAATTTGACATAGGGGTTGTAGCTTACTTAAATGTTCTCCATGTATCCTTGTTGTGTTTGTCCACCTGGCACATATTTTAACCAACAGAGAGCTGTGGATGATGGAGGAACAGGGAATTGGGGTGTTTTGAGTGAAAATTAAAGCATTTTGTTTTCTTTTTTCCACAGTTACCTCCATTATTTCAGACTGGGCTGCCTGTGATGTGACACACCTTAAAATGAGTGAATATTGTGTAATAATTTAATGGATGCAATTAAATATTGTTCTACAAATTGTGTAAGTTATCAAATCCCATAAAAAAAATTTACAGTGGGACATGGACCACATGTATGCGTGGTGTATTGTAGAGTGTGTATTAGTCAGCACTAGGACTGCATAATATGGAAAAAAAAATGTGAGTGAATGTTCAGTGAAAAATGTGTTCTTACATCTGGAGAACAAGATTTGTAGGTTTGGGCATCTCTGCAGAGCTATAGTACATTATAATGCTATTTGTCACATATTTGACCTTTTATCAAAACATTGCAGCTTCTGCAGTTTGGATATTAACTTGGAGATATTGCAGTTTCAATAATATTTAAAATAATTGTGCAGCCGTAATCAGTACTGAGTCCAGAGCATTTTTTAAATTCCTTGTCAATCCCTGTATGTAAATAATAATGTTTTATGCTTCTTTGTATTGTTTGCTGTCTTAGCAACACCAAAAGGTTGAAGCCTCAAACAGTGAAGTCTATCAGTTTAAGTAAAGAAAATAATCCATGTTACAAAACTACACAGGTTGTGTGTAAATATTAATGCTTCCTCTTCTATTTATTAGTTTCCATGAAAGGAGACATTTTTAAGAAATTTCAAATGCTGGAAGCCAGAGTCAGATGAAGAGGCTCAGGGAAAATATATGCAGCTCTCATAAACTATTCATGAAACAGCCTCATGATCATATGCCTACAGTACACACACACACACACACACACACACACACACACACACACACACACAAACACACAGAAGATATATATATATATATATATATATATATATATATAGATATAAGGTTGACTTGAACAGAATGACACAAGTTTGATATCAAGGAAGATCTTTTCAGTCCAGTGGACCTTTTCTAAAGAAGCAAGATTACGTCCTTAAGTCCCTTTTGTGTAGTGTGGCTTCATTGTAACTGCTGATGCTACATCTGATAGAGGCTGCTTTTAACCACACAGTGGCGCAGTTGAAGCAGCTTGAGGTGGAGTATTATGTCATCAAGTAATTACACTTAGTCCAGGCTGCTTTCATTATGATCACTATTCTGAGCCCTTTCTTCTGCTCATAGGCATGCATGTTTTTACTGCTTGCCCATGTCTTTGAATTGTGCATCTGAAAGCTTGGTACTGTTATATCATTTAAATCATCAGCAATGCTGGAGATTACATAATGTCCGTCCATGTCCAGCCATTAGGCGACTGCTGGTTGTGTAACACATTACTGCACTGGACATCAGATGAGGAAGTTTCAGGGGGCAGCATTGGGAAGATACGCATCCTTTTTGAGAGGATGTAAAATTGTTTATTTGTTTGGCAAAAGAGAATTTATATGATTATGAAATTAAGTGTAGTCCCATTCAGAGTCAATTCCCTGACCACCAACAGTCCTATCCACCATGAGGACATTGAGACATCCTGTGCATGGAAAAGAGCAAGGATCAAATATTTTTATTGCCACTGTATGTGACCATTGGCCTCTCCTTCCTATAGTGATCAGTCACTGGTTGTTTATTGATGAAGCTGTAAATGATCCTCCATATAAAACCATCCACCTCCTTTTGTTTATATCTTCCATCCCCGCCTCTCAAAGCACCAGAGAGATGCTCAGAGCTCAGACCGCTTGTTTATCGGCGCTCCACTGAGCACTGGAGCACCATCAACATCCCACAACGACGAGGCAACAAGAAAACAAGCTCGTCGCACACGGCGGCAGCCAATCAGCGGGCTGGTTTCTCTTCAGCATCTCGGAGGGACTGATCGAGAGGACTTGAGCTCAGGCAGCGGGGAGGAAAAAGACTTCAAGACTCCGCGACGCACAATTATGGTTTTGTGAACTTGAAGGTGGAGGATTTTGACACCAGGTGATTCAATTTCTTTTTGAATTTGGTATTATTAATGTATTCGCGTTGCTTATTTTGGCTCATGGTAGACATGCATGTTTTCACAATGTGAAAGATGAAGAATTCGATGACAGCCTACACATGCAGCTGATTCCTGAAGGTGCTTTTTGTTTTATTTTCATGCCTCTGCATGCTTCCTTTTGTAATAACATTGAAATCTAAGATGCATTTTAACCTGCAAGGACGTGTGACAGCATGCCTCTGCCCACACTGGAGTGAAATTTAAAAGGTTTTTTTTTCTTTTTTCCTATAATGCCATGTTCTGCATTGGCAGACATGCATTTGGGGCTGACAATAACAAACTGATCACGTGGACGGTGTGAATCTGGCATTTGCAAGTTTATGTAACATGTTTCTCCCTGACAGTGGTGTAACCAGCAGCTGCAGCCATGTCCAGTAATATAAACATGCGCTTTTTCTCATCTGTTTATCTTCTGAACGTGGGCTCGATGAGAGCCAGAGTGAAGGGTTCTCCAATAAGCACCATTATTGGTTAGAAAGAGGGACTGACAATGCACACGGTCTGTGCCTGCAGCCTAAATACCAAGCTGTTGGGTTACATGTAGGTAGTTACATAATTATGCATTAAATAAAAGATTAATGTCCGCTTTTATTAGCTTCCTGATTCTCTGTGAATTGAGCTCTTTAGGACAGGAAATAGACTAATAGGAGGCAATTTAAATCTATGTGATGTAATCGCATTACTGGGCTGCAGCTTGACTGCAAATTTATGTTCATAATGTTCATAATTGAATTGAATTCGGTTTGGACACTGGTTATACCAGTAGAAAAGAAGTTATTAATGGATTGTTTTGTGAGTGGAATTCAAAGACAGTACACCTAGAGAAGATAATGTGATTGTTTCAGTGTGTGGTTTTGTAGCTGCATTATACCCATAGGTTGAATTAGGTATGCATGAGAAGAAGACACAGTCACTGAGTTTGTCCCAGATTTCACTATTCTAGGTTTCATTGCACTGGTCCAAGAGCCTTTGGGTTGTGTCACAAACAATTACCCTCAGAGTGTAAATTACCCTATTTTGTTTGTGATGACTCAAATTCAGGTCAGGTTTTTCAAAATGAAAAGGGAATGCTTTTGGGCAAAATGAAGTGTTGTAGTCAAACAGCATTGTCTTTACTATACATTAATCCAAAGGAAGAATGATCTATTCACTTTGACCATAACATTATGCCTTTCATTTTTCAGTGATTTAGTTATCTTAATTAAGTGAGACATTACAACACAGTCTGGCTTCACAAAATATTTAACTGGATTCTACTCAGAGCTAATTTGCTGCTGGCTCAACAGGCCTCTCTCCATCTGAGCCGTGTCAGGGACACTTCTGCTGTCTCTGGCATCACGTAGTCCTCACGAATGTGGGGTTGTATAAGGACCCCCAGGCTTTCTTTACACTGCCTTATACCTCTATTTGGCTTGGTGCTGCTGCCAACAATAACCACTGTAGCTTGTTTCAAACATCTTGTTTTTCTGCTGCACAATGCTTGCCAAGATCTTTGACTCACAGAGCAACTAAAGAGTTTAGGGAGGCGAGGACTGACAGAGACAGCATGGTGGTGACCTCAGCCCCGGGCTGCAGCATGTTGATGTCATGTCCTCTCTCTTTGTGTCTTCGGGGGGAGAGTGTGGGCATTCTGGGGAATGGTTAAGAGGTTGTATTTAGCTGTGTCAGGTTGTATAATCCTGAAACAATGTTGAGACCATGTTGAAGGAAAGGGATTCTATATTATTGTTATTACCGACCAAAACCAACAATTTGTTTGTAATTTTTTACTGTTTTCTGACTTCCTCATGCTGTCTGTGGCCCTAAACACATTGGTGTCGCCTAACGAATCTTTATAAAATGTTCATAAATATATTGTTAAATTATTTTTAAGTGCTAAGTGATGAGTTGCTAAAACAGCTTGACAGTGTACATTAAGCAAAGGTTACTCAAACATGAGTAAACATTTGTTGGGGACTGTTTTCACTTGTGGCACTATAGAGAGTATTTTTCACTTATTAGCTATGAAACATGGAGAGAGAGAGAGAGAGAGAGAGAGAGAGAGAGAGAGAGAGAGAGAGAGAGAGAGAGGAATCCCTGGAATAGAACTTGGGATATTGAGAATATAAATTATGTGATAATTTGATATATGTCTTAAACCGCCATGAACTCCATTAGGATAGTTTATGTGTGATTAACTCGATATAAATTGCAATACTACAATGCCCATGCTCATTTTAACAAAGGGCCATGTCACTCAGTGCCACATTGTGATTCATTAGCATTAGCAACTAACAATTATTTGAATTATTGTTAATCTGCTGATTATTTTCTCAATTTATCCATACATCATTTGGTCCATAAAACATTAATAGAACAGTACAAATTAATTCCTGTAACTGTTTGTTTGAGACAAGGTGAGGCCATCAAATATCTTGCTAACAGCCCAAAACCCCAAAATATCAAATTCATTGTAAGTTAATTCTCAAACTTGAGGAGCTTGAACCATCAAATGTTTGCTGTTATGCTTAAAAATATTCATAAAGAATTAATCAATTATCAAAATAGTTAATACCTTCATTTTCTGTTGATTGACTCTTTGTCACAGCTCTATGGCTGACTGATGGTAGTTTTAGGGCAGCAATGGAGGACTAGTCACCAGTAGCAGAGAGCCAGCAGTACTGTAGATGGAGATCAGTCTTGAGCAGAGTGGGGGGCTTCGGTGTAGTAATGATGATTTTTATGTTTTGATCGACTGACACTGTCACATTCCCGAGCAGCAGCCTGAAAAGGACACTGATCTAGATAGAAAGCAGATGGGATCTCTGCATGCCCACTCACCATGATGGCATGATGGAGGGAGTAGGCTACTGTTAAACACTTTCCTTTCTCTCTCTCTCTGTGTCGCGCACACACACACACACACACACACACACACACACACACACACACACAACACGGGTCACATCACTCTGACAACAGTGTCATCATTTTGTGAGTTAAACACCATCTGCCAAACTAACAGTTAAACACAAAATTTTAGTTTTTGGTATTTCAGCCATGTTGTCTGCTAGCTGATCTCCTCCCCTTGAGAATGAATAGAATGTTCTAGCCAT